GCGATGGAAGCTCCTCTCCTCTCTGCTCCCAGAAGTCCCTCCACATCTCAGGGATCTCTGGGGCCCTAGYGGGTACGCTGGGTGGCTGACTCGGGAGTGCTCCTGCTGCCTCTGATCTCTGCCTCTCCTGTTGCTGTTCCGGGAGCTCCCCCGCCGCCTCCAATCTCTGCCTCTCTTGCCATATCTCATTTATCCGTCTTGTTCTTCTMGCCCTCTTTTCTTCAGCCGTTTCTCCAGCTGGCGCCCTTTCCCTCGTGCGGAGGTCGACCCTCTTCGGGATTTCTGCTTCCATCTCCTTCTCAGGTTGGCACGGCTCCCGGCGCAGCTCAGCAGGTGCTGACTCCTCCAGGTCTGGATGCTCCAGGGCATAAGCTGCTAGGTGCCTATCAATCAAGGTCAAGGCTTCTCTCCTTACAACTACCCTCTCTCTCCTCCTTTCTGCCGTCCCTTCTGGCGAAGAAGCCTTTTCCGACGAAGGTAAAGGGGCCTCCTTTCTCTGCAATCTCTCCTTTGCCTGCCGGGTGCTCCCTGGTGTATCCTCGAGTCTCAAATCCATTGCTGGCGCCTGTGGGGGCGTGTCCTCTCCAACCTCTATCACTTCCTTTCCTGCATGTCTCCCCTCATCGCCCAGCCCTCTCTCTCGCTGAGTACCCTGGACCTCTTCCCGTAGCACCTCCTCCTGTGGCACCTCCTCTCGCGGTATCTCTTCCTGTGGCACCTCTTCTACTTGCTCTTCATGCTTTTCATCCTGAGGCGACACTCTCCATTGAGAGATATCCAAATGCGTTTTTAATTCTCTCAACGGCCCTTCAGACACTGGCGGCTCCTCCCGTGCGTGTGTTGGCGACCTCCTCAATCCACCCTCAGTAAAAYGATGGAACTCCACTGGTCCCAACCCACATTCAGGGTATGCTCCTCGCTCTTCAACCTCTGGCTCCCGCTCCGGTTCCTCCTCTCTCCTGGCTAGGGCCTTCCGTCCTCCCCGAGACGGTCTCACCTCCCTGGGTTCAGGGTCCCTCGGTCTTTGACTCCTCTGCCGCCTCTCGACTCTGGGCTGAGGGAGCTCTGGCCGTCGAAAGGCCTTTCTCAGATGTGCCCTGCAGCTCTCCCAATCTCGTGCCATGTCCCTGATCTGCATAG